ACGTTTTCCAACACGTCTGCACGACGTTACCTACCCCTACGGCCCGTAATGGCCGAGCTGCTCTACACTCCCATCGCACACAACTGAGGCACCCGAATAATCGATCAGTGTCTGCTCAGCGTTCTACAGGGGTGCACCCAGGTTCGAGCAGCCTCTGGTCGATACATGCGCACAGACGTCATAGAGTTCAGACACGCACATCATTATGTTCAGAAAAACATATAGACTACCTATAGATACATAGACACGTTCGTCATGTTCGTTTCTGACTCACTCCCTACAGTCTTCATCCTCCGGATCAACTTTGAATGATGCTTTTTTTTTTGGTTTTCCATCATTGGACTCTGTCTTCTGAAAGTTATTCCGCGAACAATTACGGCCATTCTGAGCGACACCTCTGGCCCCCGCCGCCGTCATGCGCGACGTGAAAAACGAAGGAGCAGGGCAGGTTTTAATGGCGTGAAGGCTGCCACGGTGTCGTTCTGCTCGTCATCTGCCCCCTCGCAAGCTGCCCCACAAGCATGACCTTTTCAGCTTACAATACAACATGACCTTTTCAGCTTACAATACAATAGTTGAATTACCCTTTCGTCTGCAATTTACTCAGCAGCAGTATTATCTGTCTCTTTACATCTGGACATCTGACCCCATTCCGACATGGCCGCGCATGGCCGCGCTTTGCAGCCAGTTTATCGAGAGCGCCGGCTGGCATCCCGAAGATGACTTGCCGCACTGTCCTGGAGCAACATTGCAACCGAGATCACAACGACCGACTTTTGGTTTGGCGTCGAGAGAAAAGAGCAGAGTCAACGACAGCACACAAACAATCACGGGCGCACGCAGCCAGGATATTCATCAGGCTCGGCACAAACAAGACACAGGATGAGGTGAAACAATTTTTGTAATCGGGTGGGATGGACGACGGTTATGTACATGCCAGACTCCGGCCGTTGGGGCCTTCCCTGTAGTACGTCGATGAACAAACCAATGCGGCCAGATGGCAGTCAAACCGAGCTGCTACCAACCAACCCAGACCAACAATTGCTGTATTTACGTGCAACCGCTCTTTCGATGCTGTGTGCACCGTAGAGTACGGAAGAACTGCTGTACTGCTGTACTGAAATACTGCATTCCACCCATGGGCCCACCAGATGATGGCTGCCATCAAATAATAGCGAAAAGATGGAGTCTATTCCGTTGGCGTTGACGCAACCCCGTTGAGCATGTAGATTGCGCGAGCATCGCAGTCAGAGGGTACTGTAAGCAAGTGGCTGAACCCCTTCCTCTCTTGCTATGAAGACTCTCGCTCTTTTCACGAGGGGTCTCGTTACAGTAGCTCTCAGTGCGAATCGCATGCCAACTCCCAGCCAACGGGGGTGTCGCGATGGTCGAAAATTCCCCTGGAAAAGTGTGAAACAAGAAAAAAACACCGTCTCACGTGCGTCTGCGCTTTTGCATGTGCATATAGGAACGTCGTTTTCGCAGCAGCAGGAATGAACGTAGGACCCTCTCCTGATGCTATCGACAACGCTCGCGCTGGTGAGGGTGGGTCTTGTCGCAAGTCGTCCCCACCATTGGAGGGTGGTCATCTCTGTGATTATTTTGTGTCCTGCCAAAAGGGCCCGAAAGTGTCTAGAATTAACCCTTTTGTGACTACACCCCTCCTGAGTGTCGATAAGAGTGTTGTTACTCTTCCTGTCGCACAAGTTTTTCGTCGAAAGTCGCACTGCAAGCGCGGGCTCGTCAGCGCGAAAAGACCGCGTTCTCAGAGGAAGTCCGAACGCGGGGACACCAGACACACAGTTCCCGACGCAAGTAATACACGAGCAGGGAGTTCCACTGCGGTGCAGATCCGCGAGTGCGCGCCACACACAGAGGCCAGACCACACACACACACAGACGCCAGCAGGTGCGATGAAGACAAAAATTTTCGCCCTGCTGGCGGCTTTTCTCCCCCGCACCATCATGGCTACTGCTGCTGCTGCTGCTGCTGCTGCCGTGTCTGCTGCTGCTCTTCGCCCCGAACCTGAAGTCGAAGTTACGGGGGTGTGCACACCCCAAGAGCTCCTGCCCCAAGCCTACCGCCTCGGCCGTGACGCGGCCAACAAGGCAGGGTTTGAGTCCAGTCTTCCCAAGGTGAACTGCATTGTCAAGAGACGGAAATCCCGCCGCACCTTCACGCCCCCGCGCGAAGCTCAAGCGCACGAGGTTGCCGGAGATGGGGATTGTGCTTACCACGCCTTGCTGAAAGGTCTCCAGGCGAGTCTTGGACAGACGAACATGCGTGTTCCACGAATGTCTGATGGTGTGAAGAGTGCCCTCAAACACAGCATCATCTCCCACATCCTAGGACCATCAGCGTCGCAAGCGGTCATGACCACTCTGCTTTCGACGGAGCAGACGCGTCGGGCTCGCGCTCTTCAGTGCACTGAAACTTTCCGGATGCATCCGTATGAGCTGAACACACCTGAACCCGCGGACAAAGGCGTGATGAGCTACGGTTGGCTGGATTCGATAGTGTAAGAGAAGCTACGGACGGAGTGGCTGGACTTGTGCTGGCTTTCACTCATCCCCGAAATGTACGGGGTCGACATTGCGGTTTGGGAGCCTACCGGGAGAGGGCAGTTGGTGCAGCTGTACAAGAAGAACATGTGGGGCCTGTTTCTGTTTGACAAAAAAATCAAGCACAACGAAGAGGGGCAGAAGTGGGTGCACCTGTTATACCGCAGCGGGAGTAGTTGGGAAGCGAGAACCGGAGTTGGGGGTGACGAAAATACGGTGTCTCGCCACATCCACTTCGACTTTTTGGAGCTCGGTGCCGATTTTGAAGCTGAGTTCGACGCTATCATCTCCGTCGCCCGGTCTGGAGGAGAGGGCGACGGCGAAACGTCGCTGCCGTCACCTGTGCCGGTGAAAAGGAGGAGGGCGGCGGGGAGTGCGGAGACGACGTTGAAGCGGCAACGCACGAGCACGAAGACTTCGCAGCTGGAAGATGACGACGGGCCGCTGGCGCAATCGAAGCGCAAGCGGACGGCGAAGAGCGATGGGGGTAGCAAGAAAAAACAAGGGCCAAGCGGAGAAAGCAAGGGGAAGTCAGGGGGAGGTGGCGCGGCCGGCAGCACGGGGGGGGGCAACTACGACTCCGATGGGAGCATTGGCGACGAGGGCACGGACTGGACTTATCTCGGATGCAGAGGCGCGCTCCCTTCTCTCACAAGGAGTCAACAGTTGCTGCGGCGCAAGCTGAACAAGATCGCTGAACCAGCGTACAAGGCGGCGTTCAAACGTACGAGCATCATGAAAGCGAAGGCCGAAAAGGTGTGTTCTGTGTCCCGCGTTCCTCTTGTGATCATGTGTGATTGCGCATCCGTTAGGGCGTGCTTGTAGGAGTGTGTGCCTTTTGTCTTGTGTCGGCGACTGATGTGTCGTGTTATGTTCTGTACCGGGTTGAACCTCTGGTTGACGTGCTTTGTTTGGGGCAATGACACATAATTGCAATGGCCTCTTGTGATCTATTCTTTGTTTCCGCGGGTCTTTTGCTGCGGTGTTGTGTAATGCAACTCATTTTCTCGTATCACGTACAACGCCCCTTCGTCGTTGGTTGTACGCAATGCTTCCGTCGTGGTCGACGCCGTTGTACTGTCGCTTGTCCACAACGGTTGTCAGGAATATTTGCTGCTGTACATCGTTCAGTCCGAAAACATGTGGCCTACTTCCACGCCCCCGCCTCACGCCCGTAGTGATACGCTTATGGTTGTTTTTCGCGCGTGTGTCCGCATTTCACCAATTGTTCTTTTTTTGTCCCAACCATCGCTGTTCACGTTTGTTTGTTCGCTGGACGTGTTGAACGCAGCTCCGATATGAACGGCAGAAGAAGAAGGAAGCCACCAACCCCAAGCGGAAGAAAAAGTCCAAGTCCAGGAAGTCGCCACCCCCAGAGCTGGAGGAGGAGAGTGGTGACAAGGAGGTGGTGTGGACGGAAAGGGGGATGGAGGACTACGAAACGTCCGACCACTTCACGAGGCGCAACAAGATGTCAAAAGACATCGGGCGTGGAGTTTCGTTGTCGGCAGAGGCTCGCGCCGCGCTGCCATCGTTGGACAACTTCATGTCACACCAGAACCCTACCAGCGGGGAGTTTTCGCTTGACCTCGTCTTGGAGAAGTGCTTGGACCTCACCTTCCCGCAAAAGGCGCGAAAGTTGTTTTGGATAAGGTATGTTAATTATGTTTTGTCTTGTTGCGACACGCACCGCTTTGCTTTCATGTGTCCCGTGGTGCGCGTGTGTGCGGAGTATTGAAACAGGAATTTCCAGTGCTTGCAATGGTGAAACCGAATATGTACGATGAAGGTGCATAAACAACCCGAGACCTACCGCCCGCCCTCTCTTCGGTACCCATCCACCCCGCACAAAGTCGCTGCCCCCCTGCTGCCGTGCGCCCAATAGCTCTGCCACGATTCTGAAATAGCCCTGCACACGGCTTTGACTCGAAACCTGCCTCGAGACCCGCCCCCATCTAACCTCCGTGTCTCTCTCCCCCACCCCGACCCCCCTCCTCCGTTATTTTGTGGGCAGACGAACGCCTACGTCAAGCACTGCACGACGGCGCCGCCGACCGGTGAAGAAGACAAGCGGAAGCCACACCAGATGAAGAAGTCCGCCACGCTCGGTCGCGTCACGCTCGGGGAGCGGTCCGAGGAGCGCAACACCTACGGCATGTTCGAGGAGCAGCACATCGACGGCATGATCGGCATTTTCATCACCATGGGCCTCACGAAGAAAGTCCGGATGCGAAAGCACTGGAGCCGGTCCGCCCACGACAACTACCCGCTGGTCCAGAAGTGCATGTCGCGCGACGTGTTCGAGCTCTTGTACTGCCGCTTCCTTCACTGCTCCGACCCCAACGCTCCGGAGCGACTGCTACCCGATGGCGAAGAAAACCCAGACTACGACTCCAAGAGGCATATCAGGTGTCTTCGTTTTCAATCTGTGTGTCCTGTTGAAAACCTGGGGTGTCGATTTCGTTTGGGTCTCGTCGTTTCGGTTTTGTTGCAGTTGGGATGGTGGGGGCGGGACAGACGTGGGTCGAAGGGTACCGAAGCCACCCGGAAAGTCGAAGATTCTCCCCCGTCTACGGCGCCGCTATTTCATGTGCGGGCCGTATGGTTTGTTTTTGGTTTGCTGGCAGTGAAGTTTGGCACATGCACGCTCTATGAGTAGAGGTTTCTTCCCTCGAGTACATCACCCGACACTCAATTTTGTCTTGTGGTCATCCTGGCACAGTAGATAGAATTGACACATGATGAGCGTGTTCCTGCCGGTAGCGGCCCACCCTTTAAGGTGCTGTGTTTCTGGTGCTCTTCCCTGTCTGGCAGGGAGCTAGAAGAGATCCTCAACACTGCATGGGCGACGAACGTCGAGTGTGGCAATTGGTTGTCGTACGACGAGCAAATGATCAAGACTGTTTCGAAGTACGAGCAAGGTTTCTTTCTACTACCCGGCGAAGCCCATCAAGCACGGTGAGCATTCACACGCATTTGAAAACTTGTCTCTCGAAAGGGGTCTCCGAGAGTAGTTTTGACCGTGGTACACGTGAACAATCCGATGTGTTTCTTGTCGAAAGTAGAGAGAGGTAGGGGTTGAGGGGGGTCGTCGAGTTGGGTGGTGGCACTTATCCACGCCCCGGTGCGGCGTTTTCCCGCTTCTTACACAACGCCATTTCTTTTTCTGTACATCAGTGATCGCGGACTCCGGAAATCATTGATACGCCTTGGTGTCAACAGCTGCTGGTTCAAAAAATTTTATTATTATTTTGTTTGCCTTCCGACACAACATTAGTCTTACCACAGCTGGGCCCTTCGGCCTCCCTGTCGGCGGACGTTCGTCCGTTTTTTTCTTGATGTGTGCCAGGCATGAAGCTACTAGCGGCGTGCGATATCACGGGCTACTGCTTAACCAGCAGCGTGGATGGCGGCATGAAAGGTGACCCCAAGCTTCGCCCTTACATGGACTGCCCGCTCGGCCGGACTACTCGCCACGTGCTTCACGTTCTGTTGGGGGAGTGCGGCGTGTTGAGGCAGAAGATCGATGGCTCGGGGGTATTCATCGCCATGGACAACTACTTCACCTCCCCCACTCTGTTCGAGTGCCTCGCCTCCCACGACATCTTCGCTGTAGGTACCTGCCGCGCCGATCGGACTGCCGGCGCTGATGCGTACCTCGAGAGCCTCGGGCGTACCATTCCTAACCGCGGCGACATGAACTTCTGCCGTTCGGGGCAAGTGGCGTGCGTGCAGTGGGCTGACTCCAATGATATCTTCCTCATCAGCACCATCCACGTCGCGCAACCGGTCAAGGGAAAGGAGGAGGCAGGTGGAATCGACCACTTCAAGCCTTTGCCTCTATCGTGAGTCTGACTAGTGTTCTTCTTGACTTTTTTGTAGTTAGCATGTTTTGTCAANGTGCGTTTGAGAGGCTCAGTACATTCGCAGCCGGAGTCGGATACTGTGTAGTGCTGCCTCTGTTGACGGTGGTCGTCCTTGTGCTCAAGCCTGTGCCCCACATCCATGCACCCCTTTTGCTCGCCAGCCTAAGCCTGTTCGTCCCTCTTTTCACACGCAGCCCCCTCGCAACTTTACCCTGCGCGTCTTCTGTTGTGCAGACTGAGAGCGAAGGGCCGCAACGGGGAACCTCTGGATTTGCAGCAGCCTTGGATGCGTATGGATTACGTTCTGAAGATGTTGGGGTTGGATTTGGCTGACCAACAGACCGGGTCTCACACGCACGACCACAAGTCCTACATGAACTTCTGGCGCCGTGTGTATGACGTGATGTCGGAGCAGGCGCTGACCAACGCGTTTTGATTTTTCGCAAGTGGGTAGAACTTTTGATCAGAGAGGTAAAGGCCAAGAAGCTCATTGCACGAGGGGTTGAGTTGGAAGAGTTGCAGCTTGCGTCGACGGAGTTGGCGACACTGTCGAAGGTAGAGCGGGCTGTGTGGGATGAACAGATGGCAACGCTCCTTATGGTGAAGTGTAACGTCGCGAGGCCCAACAAGGGTGAGAGGCGTCCGGCCTCGGACAACAAGCCGGCCGACCCCGTGTGGGGTAGCGTCACCCTCAAGAGTGGACGCCTGTGCTTGAACCCTACTTGCAAGACGAGGTCGACGAAAGAGTGCTCGTGCAACCAAGTTTGCACACGGGGGGATAAGTCTGGGGTTTTGATGTGCGAAACATGCTGGAAGAGCCCGGAGTCTCACGAGCAGGCGGCGAAGGCTTACTGGGATGGTGTGTCTAAGGGCCGCAACAGAAAGGGGTTCCAATGGCAGAGGGGTTCAGTTGAGATTGCTGGTTGAGGCGCACCTGTGATTCGCATTTGTGTTGCGTTTTGTTCTTGGGGGCCGTTGTGTGATGGTTGTGCCAGGGTAGCCCGGGTTGTGCCAGGCACACTGCTCGGCGTTCGTTCGCGTTTGGAA